GTAAAGAATATATTAAAGAACAGAATGAGAGAGTGGATAGTACCCCCATCCCCAGATAGAGTGCGACCAGGCATCAACAATTGCTCAACCTCCTGTTTGACACATCCAGCCTTTTGGGGAAGCTGAGGCAGGTGAACACACTTGAAAGGCCCAGGAGTTGGAGACCCAGCCTGGCCTATGTGGTGAAACCCATCTCTACTAAAAATACAAAAATTTAGTGGTGGACGTGCCTGTTAATTCTCTAGTCTATTGGGGGCTGAGGCCAGGAGACATCGCTTGGAATCTGGGAGGCCGGAGTTGCATGAAGTCGATGATCTTGTGCCACTGCACTCCGCCTGGGCCCAAAAGCGAGACTCGGTCTCCAAAAAAACAAAAAAAAACAAAAAGGGAAGAAGAGAAGACAGGTTGGAGAGAAGTGCTAGGTCCTGAAAAAGATGACAATGCACCATAAATAGACTATGCGTGCTCAACATAGTTCCTTCGGTAATATTTGATCGGGTTTTTTTATTTGTGTGTTTGTGTGTGTGTGTGTGTGTGTGTTGGTGTGTTTCTGAGATGGAATCTCACTCCTGTGACCCAGGCTGGAGGTGCAGTGGTCTCTCTCTCTCTCTCTCTTCTCTCTCTCTCTCTCTTCTCTCTCTCTCTCTCTTCTCTCTCTCTCTCTCTTCTCTCTCTCTCTCTCTTCTCTCTCTCTCTCTCTTCTCTCTCTCTCTCTCTTCTCTCTCTCTCTCTCTTCTCTCTCTCTCTCTCTTCTCTCTCTCTCTCTCTTCTCTCTCTCTCTCTCTTCTCTCTCTCTCTCTCTTCTCTCTCTCTCTCTCTTCTCTCTCTCTCTCTCTTCTCTCTCTCTCTCTCTTCTCTCTCTCTCTCTCTTCTCTCTCTCTCTCTCTTCTCTCTCTCTCTCTCTTCTCTCTCTCTCTCTCTTCTCTCTCTCTCTCTCTTCTCTCTCTCTCTCTCTTCTCTCTCTCTCTCTCTTCTCTCTCTCTCTCTCTTCTCTCTCTCTCTCTCTTCTCTCTCTCTCTCTCTTCTCTCTCTCTCTCTCTTCTCTCTCTCTCTCTCTTCTCTCTCTCTCTCTCTTCTCTCTCTCTCTCTCTTCTCTCTCTCTCTCTCTTCTCTCTCTCTCTCTCTTCTCTCTCTCTCTCTCTTCTCTCTCTCTCTCTCTTCTCTCTCTCTCTCTCTTCTCTCTCTCTCTCTCTTCTCTCTCTCTCTCTCTTCTCTCTCTCTCTCTCTTCTCTCTCTCTCTCTCTTCTCTCTCTCTCTCTCTTCTCTCTCTCTCTCTCTTCTCTCTCTCTCTCTCTTCTCTCTCTCTCTCTCTTCTCTCTCTCTCTCTCTTCTCTCTCTCTCTCTCTTCTCTCTCTCTCTCTCTTCTCTCTCTCTCTCTCTTCTCTCTCTCTCTCTCTTCTCTCTCTCTCTCTCTTCTCTCTCTCTCTCTCTTCTCTCTCTCTCTCTCTTCTCTCTCTCTCTCTCTTCTCTCTCTCTCTCTCTTCTCTCTCTCTCTCTCTTCTCTCTCTCTCTCTCTTCTCTCTCTCTCTCTCTTCTCTCTCTCTCTCTCTTCTCTCTCTCTCTCTCTTCTCTCTCTCTCTCTCTTCTCTCTCTCTCTCTCTTCTCTCTCTCTCTCTCTTCTCTCTCTCTCTCTCTTCTCTCTCTCTCTCTCTTCTCTCTCTCTCTCTCTTCTCTCTCTCTCTCTCTTCTCTCTCTCTCTCTCTTCTCTCTCTCTCTCTCTTCTCTCTCTCTCTCTCTTCTCTCTCTCTCTCTCTTCTCTCTCTCTCTCTCTTCTCTCTCTCTCTCTCTTCTCTCTCTCTCTCTCTTCTCTCTCTCTCTCTCTTCTCTCTCTCTCTCTCTTCTCTCTCTCTCTCTCTTCTCTCTCTCTCTCTCTTCTCTCTCTCTCTCTCTTCTCTCTCTCTCTCTCTTCTCTCTCTCTCTCTCTTCTCTCTCTCTCTCTCTTCTCTCTCTCTCTCTCTTCTCTCTCTCTCTCTCTTCTCTCTCTCTCTCTCTTCTCTCTCTCTCTCTCTTCTCTCTCTCTCTCTCTTCTCTCTCTCTCTCTCTTCTCTCTCTCTCTCTCTTCTCTCTCTCTCTCTCTTCTCTCTCTCTCTCTCTTCTCTCTCTCTCTCTCTTCTCTCTCTCTCTCTCTTCTCTCTCTCTCTCTCTTCTCTCTCTCTCTCTCTTCTCTCTCTCTCTCTCTTCTCTCTCTCTCTCTCTTCTCTCTCTCTCTCTCTTCTCTCTCTCTCTCTCTTCTCTCTCTCTCTCTCTTCTCTCTCTCTCTCTCTTCTCTCTCTCTCTCTCTTCTCTCTCTCTCTCTCTTCTCTCTCTCTCTCTCTTCTCTCTCTCTCTCTCTTCTCTCTCTCTCTCTCTTCTCTCTCTCTCTCTCTTCTCTCTCTCTCTCTCTTCTCTCTCTCTCTCTCTTCTCTCTCTCTCTCTCTTCTCTCTCTCTCTCTCTTCTCTCTCTCTCTCTCTTCTCTCTCTCTCTCTCTTCTCTCTCTCTCTCTCTTCTCTCTCTCTCTCT